CCTTGTTGTTTATCGTTATTCGTGAGAAAGAGTTCTTCTCGTTTGCGAAACACTGTCGTTTCATTAGTCGCGGAAAGAAAGTACTGTGCAGGGATGAGAAGATGGCTAGGGTGGCACAGGGGCAAGAGTATAGTTGGTGGAAGCGATACAGTGAGGTTGTAAATTAAATCGTTAAGCAGCACTACAGATTGATGCAGTGATACTCAGAGTCCGGTATGGCAAACAAAAGAATTGAGACTAAATTAAAGCTAAGGCACACTTTAGACGGCCCTGACTAAGATTTCTATCCATTCGCTTACAAATTTTCACCCCGGAGCGAACTTACGACCTCGCTACATCTCTTCCATAGACTGTACCTGGAGTTAACGTAAACGTCTCTCACAGGCGGCGAATACGTGGCGTCTCACAACGAAACCACCATGAACGTCTCCTCGACTTTGCTGCCAAGGAACACCGTATGCACGGAGGGGAACAATACGTACACCGTGGGTGAGAAGATCGTGAGAGGTTGCGAGGAGAAGTGTGTTTGCGGCGAGGACGGTACGGCGATGGATTGCGAGCCCCTTTGCTCCTCTCCGTACGTCAGAGCTAACCGAGGAGTCGAGGATCCTTTGTGCCAAGAGAAATTGATCAACGAAGAACCGTGCTGCGCCATTTTGGTCTGCGCGGCTGATTCAGGTGAGTTGAAAGAGAGAGAAAATTTCAAAGAAACTCTTCCCTCGAATCTCTACCTTTCGTTGTCTAGCTCCCGAGCCGGAAGAGACCTGTGTATTCGGGAACAAAACGATCATAAGGGGTCAACGCGTCGAAGACGGCTGCTCGAGGGTGTGCATCTGCGAAGCAGGTGGAAATTTGAAGTGTCAACAGAGGTGTCCACCGAACGACACGATTTCAGTTACCAATCAACACGATCGTTGCGTAGTACTCACCGATCCAAGGTTCGAGAAAACACTTTCGAAATGGTCCAGGTAAACGACGATTCGCGATTAAAGCTTCTCTGTTTCTCTTCTACCTCAGGGATTCGTGTTGCACGATCACTCTGTGCGACGTTACTCTAGGGGACCACGAGATCAAACCGGAAGCTTCGACCGATTTAAACGTGAACCTCACGGATGTCAAGGTGCTGAACTCTACGTCGATTAAGGTGAAGTTGTCCGCGAAGAATCCGCAAGATGTGACTGTGGAGATATCGGACAATAATCACGTGTGGAGGCAGCAGAAGCCTGACAAAGGTGGGCAGATTGAAACGACGTTATTTCGTGCGAGAATTCTTTCGTGATAAGAGAATCGTTCTGTGCAGAGGGTATCGTGTCGAATCTCGAGCCGGCGCACTCGTATTACGTTCGAGTGACGGATGGAACTCGAACAGGACCCGCCTTGCAAATATTCCTCCCCGCCGAAGTCGTGAAGACCAATATCTCCGACAAGATGGCGGACAAAGGTTCGTGCAGTCACATGGGCAAGACGTACAAAATCGGCGCCGAATGGTACGACGAGTGTATCTCGTTTTGCACATGCGTCGAGGGTGGTAAAACCGAATGTCTCACCATCGAATGTCCCACCGACTTCGGTCTGGACGTTCTCAATCCTCACTGCCTCGACTGGGAGACCGTGCCGCCTAATTTCGTCCCTAAACCACCTCATTGCTGCCCTCAGGTAAAACGCCGAGATGATTATCTCCGGTTTGTTTGTTGCTCGTTTACATAACGCGACACTGGAATGACTGCTCGCGGTGCGCAGGAAGTGCGGTGCAGGAATAATGGCTCGTGCAATTACGAGGGCAACACGTACGACAATTGGAGCGAGCTGCCAGCGAACGTAACAGGATGCGAGAAGCGATGTTACTGCGAGATGGGGAACGTGTCCTGTCAGGCCGCTTGTCCGCCGGTTCCAGCTCTGCCACCTGCGACCCTGCCGTGTTATCAGCCCGCCTTGATACATCTACCGAGTGACGAGTGTTGCCTCGAATGGGGCTGTAATCATCAGTCTGGTCAGTTGCCGCCAGGTAAAACCGCGTTCACGGGAAAAATGGAGAAGTGAGGAAAATGAGAGTCGAGGAAAATATCGCAGAACAGAAGGCATACCGGGTGTTCCAAGTTGAACGAGGTGAATCTTTCCGGTAGAATGTCAAGTGGTATTATTCTTCTTCGAATTGCAGATGGAACATCCTGTACGTCTGTCTGATGCGATCTTCGAATAGTAGAAGTTTGTTCGATCGGTATCGTGTTCGTAAACGTTCGATACCTTCCTGGTGGCGGTGATATTATCCATTATTGATAGCGTTCACGTTACACTGGTATCCCTATGGAACGACTGTTACCGCGAAGAGGATTTGTTAGAGTTGGTAATGGGTAGAGAATGGTGACGCTTATCTGCCACGCGGACCTGACTGGAACCTCTTTCTCTCTCTCCAGTGAAAATGTTACATGTACATACACCCGGGTATTCTAAATACATCCACACGTTTCTCGCACCTTTCATTCAACGTATCTCTTCCCTTTTTTCGTTCGACGACACGGATCAACCGCTGGAACACTCTACAGTTCTATCTCTCTCTCTCTCTCTCTCTCTCTCCTTATCCCGCACACCTTTTTCTTCTCTATTTCACATTCTTCGCCCGCTGTCGCCTGTACATCTCCAGGATGTTCTTCCTTTCCGTAGAATTGCCCCTTTTCTCGCTACAGCGAATGGTTATTAAAAGAGAAGCAAAAGAGAGACGCGGTTACAGTGTTATTTAGGTAAAAAAAAAAATAATACCAGAGGATACGATGAGGCTGTGTAAATGCATGCTTTCTACCGGCCACGCTTGTACATACAAAACTTGGACCTCTTCTGCTGTATATACTATGCATGGAGAAATTCGAAGTGGCCTGTACGACAGAACAACCGCGTTACCTTTATCGCGACGGCCATCTCAGTGACAAACGACTTTATTACTTATTGCAGGAACGAACGCGACGCCCGCGTTACCCGGCCCCTTAGCCACAGACACGTTCAATCGACAATCGATCGACGATAGCAAAAGACCGAATAACAAGTCGGATTCGCCGATATCCAGCCAGCAACCGGATTCTGCAACTTCCTCCTTGCGGGAAGATTCGAAAGACGCTCGTCCTCCGTACACAGACACAACAGTCACCACAACACACGGACTCTTCCACTACCCCATGGATCCTGGACACCCGACCATACCGTACAACGGACCGTACAGTCCCGACTATAAGCCCACGCATCCCACGATAGAGGACGTCTTCCATTTACCCTCTCACACAGAAAAACCCCCGTCGCCGAGCAAAGAAAAAATCACCACCAAGTCTAAGTCGGACGCGAAGAAACCGCTCGAACCTATCGTTAAGCCTCACAAAGACGACTACTTCCCTGGACCGTTGGCACCGGACAAATACCTGGAGAAAGCTAGCTCTGCGAACACCAACGAGAACCATCAGTTCATCCCCGGCCCTGTAAATCCGAATAAACTGCCACCAGCGGCGCAGAAAATTCCTCACCCTACCGATCAACCACAATTCGTTCCGTTCGATCCGCATCAAGAGAGCTCGGTAGGACCAGGATTCGCGATCGTCTCCACTAATCGCGATCAACATTTCCCTCAAGTGAATCCAGCGGTTGTTGGCCCACCCTATCGTGGTCCGTTACTGAACGGACCAGACAGTATCGATCCAAACGTGATCGTTCCGGTGATTCCTAAGAAGAAAACTACGCCGAGCGATCTGTTCGACGGCGAGAAGATGAAGGCGCAACAGGGAGGAGTGAAAGCAGCCCAACGAAATCCGAATCAGGAGATCCTACCGGAAGAGCTCTACCATCTGATCAATCTGCAACATCCAGGCTTGGTGCAACTGGAGCATGCTCCGCCCGAAGGTCATTCGGGACTGTACGACATTCATCAGCAGATATCCGGACAGAAGCCTAATAATCATATACAGGCTGGTTACTTCCCCTCGTCCGGCTCGAAGAAACCCTCCAAGCCGCACATTTACACGCAAAAGAACGAAAACGGTCAAACCACGTATCATATTCACACACCGGACATACCAACCTCGCCTCAGCAGATCGAGGAACTGTTAGCCCATATCGGTCAACACGATCCCAATCCTGGACCGTTCCAACACTATCCCGGACAGGCAGCCATACCACATAACGTGGCTGGTGGCTCGACAGCCACTTTGCCACTTCACATTGACGCTCACATACCGCATACAGGGCTCACGCACTTGAATCATCCGTTCGCAGCACAAACGCCCAACCAGTCAGGTTCGTCCCTGATCAGCAAACACAATCTTTTCACATCGTCTGTTTAGCGGGAAAGCTAGCTTGAACTCGCGTGTTTCGAGTGCCTGTACACGATCTTCCCTCTGTTAGCGCAAGTGATATCTTGAGCCTCGAGGAACGCTCGAACGACAAGGTATAGCTGGTGGAAGAGATACGGATCGATGAAATTCACGGTATAGAAAGTTACCGGTGCAGAGGTGGAAAGAATGCTAGCGGAACGGTATAGGGGCAAGAAAGGTATAGCGAGGTCGTAAATTAAAGCACTATTGTGCTTTCAAGTTCTCTAGCTAACTCGGCCCCGTCACACGCTGCTGTATGATCTTACTTGAGTGGGATCCTTCGTAACGAATCCGTTATAAGAAGCATCAACGAGGAAAAATAGAGTGGGTGCTATTAGCGTAGTGAGCAAAGTCCCTGCGTGCTACTCGGGAGGTCGTGGGTTCGATTCCTGGTTGGGTCGTTCAATTTTTTCTTCAGCTTTTACACTTGCAGATGTGACCATTCTTCGGCCAATAACAAAAATCATGTGCCTTGTCAATTTAAGAGAAAGTTTAGTCCTATTATTATACTCTATTATCTAATCAGACTCGTATTCCTTCCGATAGCATTTATTTCCAACTCTTGAACACATACATATATGACACTCTTTACAATCTCGACGTATTTCTTCCAACCTCGTATCTGCACACGACAACGATTTCGCGGTTTATCTCGTTAGATCGAATCACTCGAGAACCGTTCAAGCCTTGCACTTTTGGTATCCTAAGACGTTTCGATACGACTGAGAAGAACAGAGAGACGTGTTAGGGCTTACTTAATAATTAAACACGATGCGTTAAAATCTTCTATGTTCGTATAATTTAGGCATGGAGCATAATGTACAGCCAGCTGGGTTCCCATTACCCGGTACCATCCCTGGCTTCCCTGCAGCTTCATCCGCCGACGAAGTCACCGTGCAAATACTCGAGGCCCTCGACGAGAACACCGTGCGCCTTGTGTTCACTGTACCACAGGTTCTAGTCGGGCTTCAGGGACGCGTGGAGCTGCGATATGCCAACGACAAAACGTACTTTAATAATACATTTGACGATAAATCACGTGTCGAAGAGATTATACAAGATATTTCTACTATGCAGGAACTTCGACGTTTCTACGTGGAAATCGCAGGTGTTCGCTCCACCGAACGATTTAATCGCGACCCCGCAGCTCGAGTTCGAGCTGGCCGATCTGAAACCATCTACCGAGTATAAAGTGAAGATCACGGTAAAACTGAAGGACCTGGCTAACAGTCCCACCAGTAAGATCTACAGCGTGAGGACGCTGGAGAAACGAGCTGAGGCGACTACGTTGCCCCCTCAGATACCCATCGACGCAGAGCTCCACGTCACGGAGACGAATTCCAGCTGGATCAACGTGATGTGGAGGAAATTCACAGAGTACGAGTTACAGTTCATCGATGGCGTTCAACTTAGGTACAAAGAGAACGTCGGTAAGGTGTACTCGGGTACACCGTTGATCCACAGAGCGGTCAGGGATTACGTGATCGAGAACCTGAAACCATCGAGCATGTACGAGGTGGGCATTATCTTTGTTCCTTTCCCAGGACAATTAACAGAGTTGGTCAGCGAGAAAACGGTGAGTTGTTTGAGAATACCTGCATGTGTGTATACTGATCTCTCTTCTTCGTGTCGACAAAATCACATTTTCTCCCCTTCGAAGATTCAAGTGAGCACGTCGTCGATGGAACCGGATCCGTACTCGTTCGATGTCAAGGTAGAGATCAAAACGATCAAATCAACCGACGTGGAGGTAACGTGGACCGGTGTACCTTATCCAGAGGACAAGTACGTGAACATATACAGAGCCATCTATCAGAGCGACAGTGGCAAAGAGGACACGAGCACGTTCAAGATTGCTAAAAGGGATTCTCACCCGAAGACGGTTGTCAGCGATCTTAAACCGGGCACCAGGTATCGACTGTGGCTCGAAGTTTATTTGACCAACGGTAGGATAAAGAAGAGCAACGTACAGGATTTCGTGACCAAGCCTGGAGTTCCTCTGCCTGCCACTGTGTCGCAGCAAGGTGCGTGAAAAACGATCGATTAACGGCACAGTCCAATTTTCCTACGATTCGGATGACGATAATGTAATATTTCGTGACAATTGAACAATTTGCAGCGGGAAAACTTGCATCCGTACCCCTTCACGAGGGCGATTATTACGGGCCATTAGTGGTGGTCGCCATTGTTGCATCTTTAGCCATCCTTTCGACCTTGATACTCTTAATGATGCTCATGAAAAGGCGGACAAGCAGTAAGGCTGACATATCCTCCCGTAAAAGCACGTCTGCGTACGACAATCCTTCCTACAAGGTAGAATTACAACAAGAGACTATGGGTAATTCACTCTCATTGTTTTAATACGACAATTGCCGCGATTAGCTTCGCTCTCAATCGTATGATTCGTTGTACGTGCAATATTGTATAACATATACATATATGAAATTCTAATCTTAGCTCGAATAATCTTCTTAACAACATTTACAGACTTGTGAGGACGCCATCACGATATCGAACGGTAGGAACAAAAATTCGGACCACGAAATGGCTACCATTAACAGCAACCATTTGAAAGAGACCGCCTAAAGGTCTCTATAATTTATTCGATTCTATTTATTTATACGCCCCTACTGTATCTTCGTCATCGTTGCCGTCGTAGGTATTTCTTGATTGAAAGTAATGATCGAGCCGATGTAAATTGCCGCACAAAGAACGAACATCGAGAAGTATCTACGCGACGATTAGAAATAAGATATAAAATAAGTATAGTAAGAAGTTGTAATTTACTCATCATGCGAATCGTTCGATAATTTTTCACCACGGTCAGTGGAATTTGTATTAATACTTGTACATAGCGGTGTTGAGTAACACTACAATATCGCGTTAGATAAGATAACGACTTAAGAGGAGCGAAGTTTTCAAAAATCTTATCGAGTAGGTGTAACTACGAAAGCAATTCTCCATATACATACGTACACTACCGATTGACACGTTCTTTCTACGTATTTAATGTTAACAGTTAAGTTATAAACAGATAATCCTTCTGAGTCACGACGACCCAGCTTGCGTTTTGTACAGTCCACATTTTACATTGTTAAAAATTTATATAATAAATAAGGTGTATTATGTCGTATTGAAGTGTTGAAAATGCGAAATGAATAAAACTGTTTGTAAACTATAAACAGGAGTATTTATTTATATTGCACGTCGTGCACACAATGATTTAATCTATGTCAAACATTTTATATAAAGTAGATGAATTTGAATATATATTGGAAAGAAATTTTAAGATAGATATTCAACATTTCTTCATAAAACAGGATATTGTCTCGGAAACAACGAATATTACGAAAAAGTATGAAAGAACTTAAAAGTAGTTCTTCAACTCGGATTCAATTTCAAGGGGGCTGGTAGTGGGGCCATATCTGGAAACAACTTTTCCCTCTTTGTTAACAAGGAATTTGGTAAAGTTCCATTTGATACTGCCAGTGATGAATCCACTTGCTTGTGTTTTCAACCATTTCCATAATGGATGAGCTTCATCTCCATTAACATCAATCTTTTCAAACATATCAAAAGTAACATTATATGTCTTGACAAAGTCTAAGATATTTTGGGAAGTGCCTGGTTCTTGGCCACCAAATTGATTTGAAGGGAATGCTAGAATCCTTAAACCCTCTTTTTCACTGTACTTTTCATACAATTGTACCAGCTCTTTATAATGCGTGTCTGTCAGTCCACAACCACTAGCAACATTAACAATTATACAAACATGTCCACGATATTTGTCTAATGACACATCATTGCCATGGATGTCTTTAGCATGAAAGTCATAAATTGTAGTAGCTAACTTCCAATCTTTGTCCTGATCAAAAGATGCTAAGCACTGCTCTTGCTTATCATCTTCACATTTTTCTGCTATGACCCCACAAAAGAACAGAACTGTCAGCAGTGCTACTTCTAAAAAAAAAGCAAAAAAAATACTCAACTACTTAATTAACAAAAAATTTCAAAATAACACTATCTACACAATAATTCTTAAACTATTTAAATACTTAAATATTACAGTAAAATGTTAAAATATATTTAAATCGTGGTAACTATTGCTTCGAAGTTGAAGCCGGTTTCACGCTATTTTCGAACGAAAAGGAAAAAAAAGAGAATCGATATAGTATTTGTTGATGTCTTTAATTATCGCTAAACTAATCCTGTACCAAACATCATAAAACTGGCGCTAAGAGATTAACTTTCAATAATATTATTTGTAGACACTTACTCAGCATTTTGAAAGAAGCCTTGTTTGCACTACAGAACTTTATCAGAGAACAAAAATCACTAAATTCGAAAAAATTGATTAGCTATGACGAATAAATCATTCTTATTAATCACAAAAATCTATAAATAATTAGAAAAGTTACCGTACCTATTCGCTATCGTACTACGCAAGCAACCGTCCTCTATAACTGATCGAACGCAAATGCGTCGTCTTTCCTTTGTGCGGAATTTTTAACAGACTTGAAACATATTGACCTCTGTCCAGTTCTGTCCTTGAGTCGCAGCATCATGGATTCTGGAATGCTCGCAAAATAAAATGACGAAATTTCTTATTGCGTTCGCCATTTCGACTCGCATTAACTATACCGCTCGCTATAATGAGAAAAATTTCTCTACGCGACGTACGAAAGAAATATCATTCAATCTGTAATTGACTTTTGCAGCTCATTCATGAATTGACGATGAAACATCACTTATGCAAAATAATTTCTTCCAGACTGTTAAAAATATCATGAAATAAAAAAAAAAATTACATACACAATTGAATCATAATTGAAATTCCATGTTTAATAAAATGAGATCGTTACTGTTTTCTTTATTGCGATTTAAAGAAACACATAAATACATTCGTGATTTATTTTCATTAATTCTCACAAACACCACCTTACGCTCACGTGAAAATCGCATTGCCGTGTGTATGACAACATAACCTCAAAAACATAGAGAGGTTATAACCTATGAATTATAATTGTTGTTGATCATCTACGTCAAAATAAAATAAAATTTCAGAACATTTGTAACATATGACTTAAGAAAATTAAGCAATAATATTGTCTGGAATATTGTGAACGATTTGTCCGAAAAAAGTTTCACTGTAAATTGTGTACAACCAAATAAACATTGAAACTGCAGTGAATTAATTTAATCACACATTGTGATTGAAGTTACTATTTATATAAAAAATGGTAAGTCTAATAAATATCGTTATATGTTATATGGAACCCATTATATTTCCTTATCATGTTTAATTATGTTTTGTTATTCCAGGCTCGAAACGCAGAGAAGGCTATGTGAGTATTTGAAAAGAATGCACACTTTCTTGAAAGTAACTTGTCACCTTTGCATTATGATATGCTTATTTAAATGCTAATTCTTCAACAGGACCACACTTGCTCGATGGAGAGCTGCACAGAGCAACGAAGGAGCCAGAAAAGAACAAGAAAGGAGACCTTACCTAGCTTCTGAATGTAGAGACTTGAGAAAAGCAGAAAAATGGAGAATGCAAATAATTCGAGAAATCGCAAAGAAAGTCGCACAGATACAAAACGCTGGTCTTGGAGAATTTCGTATTCGAGATTTAAACGATGAGATTAATAAATTATTGAGGGAAAAGCGGCACTGGGAGGCTCAGATAAAAGAATTAGGTGGACCAGATTATTCTAGAGTAGGACCACGTATGTTAGATCATGAAGGTCGTGAGGTATAACGTTTGTTTTGTAATACATTGAGTTGCTTTTGAAAAAAGGGGGATAAGTAAATTATTGCCACGAATACTTAGGTACCGGGAAATCGTGGATACAAATATTTTGGAGCAGCGAAAGAACTACCAGGTGTTAGAGAACTGTTTGAACAAGAACCACCGCCACCTCCTCGTAAAACTCGCGCTGAATTAATGAAGGACATCGACGCAGATTATTACGGTTACAGAGACGACGACGACGGAATTTTACTCCCATTGGAACAGAAAGCTGAACAAGAGGCAAGAGAAAGAGCGGTAGAGGAATGGTTGGCACAGAATGAGAAAGAACCAGAGAGTGAGGAAGAAATCGAAGCGACTGCACAAAAACCGATACCTTCGCAACAAGACATTCAGGAAGCGTTACTTGCAAGAAAAAAGCAAGAACTGTTAGAGAAATATGTACTTTGACAGGTTTTATTCATCTTATCGTTTTCATATATTCAGTAACAACTATTCGTAAGTTTATTCGTTAACATTGATTAAGGTAATTATTTTGTGCAGTAGACGTTCAAACTTCAATTAATACTTATCGAGAAAGAGTGCTGTAGATAAAATATAGATAAAAATTCAACAGTAGTCTGTTTATAATCCTCGCGATCCTTATGTTTGTTTGTTTGTTTTTTTCGTTTTTTTTTTCTTTTTGCTCTGTTTTGTCGATAATGTAAGCACCGGACACTCGAGAAAGCGACATAATGGAATAAAACACCAGAGAACAAGACAGTATGAATTACCGTAATGTTGTAAGAATGTTTTCACTGTATACACTCATACTTGCCAAACATTGTTGTTTGGATAATAAAAATTCAATAATTTCATACACTCCTTTCGTGTGATCAATGCTTTAAGCGTCTTCAACTAAGCATCCTTCATTTCACCGTCATCATAAGTAGAATCATCATCACGCAAAAAGCCAGTCGTTTGCTTTAAGAGATACTTCGATATAATTACAACTATATTGTAACAAATTGAAAACAGTCAAAGGCATAGAAATTACCCTGAAAAAGCCCTACTCGTTAATTAAGTGATCATAAATACTTCAAAAACATTTCATTCTTGGCCGTGTCGCGTTCGATTTGCCCGCGACACGAGAGACCGACTACTACGCTTCTGCTTCCTTTTTCACGCGTACAAATGTTCTCTTCGATTCTCGCTCAACATCGTGTTGTTTATAAACAGACTGTACAATATACAATTATATTACCAGGACTCAGGAGTGAAAAATAGTCTAATAACTAAAGCTAACTAAAGTCGCGTTACACTTCAACTTTACACAAAGTGTAGACTTGAATCATTTAATCGCACCATTCGTTTTTTACGCTTTCCAGAAACATTCGAAATCGGACAACGCACTACGAACGCAACTCATATTGATTATAACAATATCGATTATCGGTAATCTCACTCTAATTGTAAATTCAAAAGCGCATTTCAAAGAGATTATCGTTTAATTGTAAAAAGAACATCTGCACGTTTGTATTTATACGTATTAAAAATAAAAAGAAATAGGAAACATCTGAGTCCTTGCAATCGCGTTATACATTGTCTAAAGACATAAATAAGAGAATAGTTCGAGCATGGATTAATCATCGTTAATCACCTAAACGCTAAGCTTGAAAAAGTCAAGCATTAAACGATTCACAGCATTTGGTTTATTTTATCTTATTTTTTTTCTCTTGTAAACCATTAATCAGTCACTCGTTTCGCCCGGTAACCAATTCACTCTAATATAAACGCCTGGATAATAACGTTTCTACGTACAAATGTACCTATCGTATTCACGATCATGTATGCTTCTAATTTAGTAGTAATATCAACTCTACAATCACATCTGCATTTACGGGGTGCGTTTTGCGAGTTTATTGTGCGTCGTTGAATTGTGAATCTGTCCTTGTGTACATTCCATCTTTCTTATCCCACTGTTTAACTTAACCCCTCGGTGCTATCGTCAATTAACCGATATCGCGTGTGTATACACGAACCATTCGTGAGGTTAGAAACTACGCATATATGCACGTTGATGCGAATACCAATTGAATACGACACTAACTTATTAAAATCTCTATATCTCTGTTGATGCAACTTCGTACGAGTTACTTTTCTAACCTCTATTCAGTGTCGTTAAAGGAAGTGAGCATATGCGGATCGTAGTGCGTAGAAAAAAAAAATGGAGTTGAGAAAAGAAGAAAAAGGAACACACATAAGAAATTACAAGAATTTCACAGCCTCTCGTTTCTTTTGAAACATTTTCGCTGTCCCCCCACTGAAAAAGAGAGAACAGGCAGTTGAAACTCCAAGGGGTTAATTCATTTTCCCGCGTCAATCCATTTTCGAACTATATTGATCGAAACACCAAAGCTCGTGGTCGTATCGAATCATACGAACAAGCATCTGCAAATCGAATAGTCCGCTGAAAGTGTCGCGGAGTCGAGAGAGACAGAGAAAGAGAGGAAAAGTTATATATAAGTACGTATTGGTTTGTTAGTTAGCTCTCGCCCAAAGGTGAACGATTAGAGGATCGCGGTTCATAATGGGCTCTCGACTCGGCTGGGTATCCCACGACGATTCTGCGTCGACGGACACGCGGCCTAGAAAGGGTGAAAGGCACAAAGTAAAAAATAAACGATTAAGGTTGGTTCAGGCACATATCGAATCGGAGTCGGTTTCGCGGTCCGTCTGCTATCTAATACGACCGACTTTTGGGACCGACGAAATGCGTGTTTTTTTGTGCTTGTAGGAAGTGTGTGAGTCTGCCTGTACGTGACTTTTGTGTACAGATGTATACAGGGTGTCTCAGAACTACAGGTCAAATAGCAAGATGTGATACTGGATGACGAAAGGAACACTTTAAAATCTACATACCTTCAGCTTTATTACCGAGAAACAAAGCGAGATCGAACGTACATTCGTTAGAGAGAAAAAAAATTCGTCCCTTTCGTTATCCCGCATCGCTTCTCTCTCTTTTATTGGCCTGTAGCTTTTAAAACATCCTATGCGCATGCGTATGGAGAATGTTCGTGTTTCGCGCGTATATTTTCTTTTTCTGTTCGTTTTTTGTTTTTTTCTGGTTGCATATGTAATATACATACGTAATATGTATGCTGAAAACACCCGCAACTCCGTCCGGCGTATCAAAAAGGAATGTACTTGGTACATCGATAGAGTTTTCGAACTCAGTGTTACCACGTGCATAAAATTATGACATCTCTGATTCGCAGGCTCGACAGATCGACGTATTGACTTCTGTATTCTGTGTTTCGGGCAGTACAGGCGGTATCCAATAGATGTGGCAGGCAGCCGTTCGTCTCGAAAAAAATGGTGTTGCTGTCTACATGATCAGCCGTACCTATCATGGTGCTCGATGGAACAACCGTTCACCTGCACTGTTGCCTATCGATCAAACCATTATCGTTTATCGTCAACGAAAAGTGTTTCTCCGTGACAGGAACTCTTTCGTGATTGTAGCACGCCTCAGGGACGTAACAACGAATGCCAGCGTTGAATTTGCGTCGGCATTTAATCCCAAACTGAGCCAACCGATCATTTCCCTTCCTTTCCTTCCCATTCCTCCTCTTCGCCGATTATAAACCGACAGATAGAGCGTCACGTCACCAAGTTGGAACAGAGCAACCTGAATGGGAACGGTATCGAATTGAATAAATTCTAATAAATAATACACACAGATCGTTTCATCGCGTCGTGTTCAATTATCGTATATAAGAGCACCTGGAATATGAACGTTTCTTTGTACAGAGGGTTCGGCTGCGCACGTTTCAGGCCAGTTTTCGATCGTTCCATTTCATGACTGTTGCTATCCATCAGAGCTAACTTCACGTATGTATCAGGTGGTTTCGTGTCGTTTCCACCGCCACCACGAAAGTGAGATCCCTTGATTATCTCCACCGATAAACGACCAGTCGTCCCGTTGTATGCCAAGCCTACTAAAATCTCCGCTACGCTTCCACCCTTCATGCTACTACCGTAAGGAGGCATAGTATGTGACGCGTAGCTGGGCACGCGAACAGTAGGCGAGGCGTACGATTGTACCGACTGCTGCGATCCCGTAGAGTCGCTGCGTGTCAAACTACTAGTTGTTCCCCAATCTTGCACCTTGAACGATACGTTTATTCCTGCTATGTGTTATGTTGTTCATAGTTATCCGAACCATAACGAAGACAGAGAGAGAGAAAGAAAGAGTGGGGGATATGAAGCATAAATAAAAAGGACTGTTACCGGAGAGGAAGGTGTAGGTTGCAGCGGTAACCAAAGCGTCGTCTCGAGCTGAAGATTAATTTGATCGAAAGAGACTCTGGCCTCGCCTAGCAATCTCTCTCGACGCATTCTTCCGCTCCATAGGTACACTCTGAGACGTACACCCATAGCGTTCACGTCCTCCGGATTTACGCGAGGAAGCAGGAAACTTTCCATGTACTGAGGAGAAGTACCCTGGCGTCCACGTGTCTTACGTCGTTGTTTCTTCGATGGTAACAGTACCAGTCGCACATGACTGCCGCTTATACCTTCTGGATAATTTCGTCCCTGCAACACCTGTACCTGTAAAGAAAAACAAACGTATCGTTTCTTTATGTATTTTGTAACGTAATTGTAGAATAACAGAGAAGTAATATTAAAAAAGGAACTTCATTTTCATACGCACCGTCATCGCGCGCATCGGTGCATCGTAGAGGAAAGCGACCTCCAAGCTACCCACTTCCTCGGCGATAGTGGCCATCGTTGTGATAACGTCGTTGGTCGTCGGTCCATTTTGCTCGACTTCTACCTCCTGTTCTCTGGTTTCGAGAAGAATACCGGAGGCCCCGACTTCTACTACACACTGTGATGCCAAAACGAAAAATCGCGTCGATCGTCAGAAAATATCGGAAAATATTCCTAGTGAATATACGAAATTATCCGAGATACAGAGCCTAGCGTACGAATTATACGATACCCGATTTCGATTTAAAACACCGATTGCTCCATTATCTTACGATCTTTTTTTCTTTCTCTTTTTGTTCATTCACCTGTTGTTGATCGCTGGGCGAGTGTTCTTCCGTGCAGCTGCTGGAGGTGGTGCCGGCGTCTAAAGGATAAACAAGCGATCAATTAAGAACGTAGGAGAGAACGAGGGGAAGAGAGAAGGAGAGGGAAAAGTGCAAACTAACCTAGGATGGTGGGTCCATCCTCTGCTTGGATGGTCAAAGTATCCGGTGGTGGATGAGGATGTGAGTTCAATCGACGAAGGACGTCCTCTTCCGAGTCGGAACTGGTCTCTGGATCCGCGTAGGAAAATGCTTTTCCTATCGAGTATCGTTTTACAGTCGAACGTTTAGAAAGTAGGAAATTGATCGGTTAAAATTTCTCTGTTCTGGTGACGATCGTTGGAGAGAAAGAAAGAAAAGAAAAGAAAAGGGAAGAAGGAAAAGAGGAGGTGAAATCCTGTAAACAGACCTACCTATATTTTTCGTGATCTGAGAGCTTGAGCTGTTGTTTAATTCGCAGAGGGGCACACATACGCCGCCGAAAAGCGTGGACGTGGACGGCGGTGTAAAGCACCACTTTAAGTACAAGAAGAGAACTAAAAGGAGGACCACGAAGCCAGCAACGGCACCCAGAAGTGCTATCGTGTTCGCAGGTACTGTAAATCGATCGTGAGTGAGAACGATTGTGGTAAGGTATCAACCACTTAGTCATGTGTATTATTTAACATCTGATCGGTAATGAATGAAATTTTATAGGTAACAAGCATGATGCGAGAGGCAGATAGGACTTATGGATTGGACGGTGGATGGATCTGTGTAGGTGAAAATGGAAAAGGAAATGAGAAGATATGAAAAAGTACGATATAAAAGGGCACAGCTGAGGCATAAATTATTTATTGACCATAATAAATAATTTAAAAGGCGTTCACCCGTACACCGATTAAAATTGTCCTCCTGGCCGGCGCGGCACGGCGCGACGCGACGCGACGTTTATACGTGCCGTTGCCGTATCGAACGCGTTAAAAGCATGCAATACCGGCACGTTACACGTCGTAATGACCTGGAATAATTAACCGTCGCTCCAGTTGTCACGTAAAATCGTCGCGCGCGTGATATTGCGCAGCGAACACGCTCAATGATTCCTGGTATCGAGATCTTCCGGCGACAACGCGGACTTCCGGCGTGGCAACCGATCCGTTATGGTTGATCATAGAAATAACCAAGAGAAAAAGAAAACAGTCGATTAGGGATCGACGAACATTGTCGTAGATACGATCTTGTTTAGCGTATATAAATTTGCCGCACCCTCGAGCGTCACGAGAATCGTCGTAATTGCTCTTTGGTATCCTTTAAATAAAAGGGAATAGAAGAAGAAAAGAAACGAAGGTATGACATTGTTGAAGGGGATGCGTTTCGAAATAACCTTGATTTGCGCAATGCGGAGGAAACCGTTACATGTATCCACGCTCGAATTATTCTCGATTAAACAGGAGAATGATGCAACGTTATAAGATAGCATAAGTAAAGGTGACTTCGATGGGTAATTTGTTGCATCGAGTTCGAGGATTTTTGTTTTCTTTTTTTCTTTTGTTTTTTTTTCGATTGAAAATATTCAAAACGATAAATGAAAAATGTTCATATAACTCGACGTGTTCTGATCAGTCATCGATGCTCGAGGTTAACGTCATCTCCGTGTCAAAAGAATACCAAGTTACATTACCTGGTAGCTGAATTTATTGGTACAATTGTGGACAACGCGGAAAATAGTGGACTTACCCGCCAGAAAATGGTCTGATCCACCCAGAATCATGCTCGTCCTTGTGTCACATTAAAGCCTTCTTACGTGGTTCTGTCGAGAGAACGCGGTAAATATTTCACTAATAATGAATTCATTATCTATTTGTTACGAGACTGTCCGATACTCGTGGTCGTTCGCGATCACCGAGAAGCGTGGTTACGAGCCAGTCGAATAATAATACGTGGGCGGGGGTGTACACACAGCACTCTGTTGCTTGTCGAGTCGTGCGCCTGCAATACCTTGACCAGCAATACGCATGCGCTTCATGGGAACGCATTCTTCCAAGGAGATTTTCCTTCGACAGGGATTCTCATATCGAGGGAATACCAAGCTTTTCGTTGAGAACCAAATACCGTCGGTATATTGTTCTATCGACTATTATTACGTAAAATTACAACCGGTTTCCAATTAATCAACATTTCACCTAACAGAAGCGCAATGGTCTTCGTTATATCCCCGATCCTAGAAACGATCGTAAGAATCCAAAAAGGAAATACACCGTTTTTTTTTTTAATATTACTTTACTTTGGTTTTCTTTTCCCTTTTAACATGTTCCTGAATTATTAAACAAATATTTCCACCTATCATATTCTCGACGATGGGGTCTCGCATGACGCGAATATACCGGCACCTGTTATCTATAATAAAAGGTACTTAAAGGACCAATGATACGAACTGAGAATAAACGCAATCGCAGCATTTATATATTGAAAAATTTATTTCAAGTTTTTAAGAAGTTAGAATCAAACATTCCTCGACGGAAAAACAGGATAAAAGACGATAAAACAAAATACTTAAGTTTTTATCATAGAATGTAGTATCTACAGTTTTTATTTTAGTTTTATTAATTTATTTTAATTCAGGCGTGATTATCGAAAAACGATGATGGTTTTCATTAACGATAATCAATATTATATAAACGTATGTTAAATTCGCCCATTCAAGAAATGGAAATACTTTACCAAATTATTCTCCTCGTATTTTCATTTATTACTTGTTTCAAATAATTGGCGCACTAATTTTATTGTACTTCATTGATTAAAATAGAATTGGCATAAGAACATAATATCTACTACGACTTGCTAATAAAATCTAATTCTAATTAATCAATATGAACATTATTCGGTATAGTTATAATTAAACAAGACCTTTTGATTTTCTAATAGTATTTCTTAATATTAAAAAAAAAAAATGATAAGATCAATTGTATGATTGTTTCTTTTTACAAATACAGAAACGATAGTTTTGACTTTTTACTGGTTATATTAGAAAGGAAAAAATATTTGATTTGACACAGGTAAGTTTCATCTGTTCTTTGTATCGAACAACATAACCTCAAAAATGCAATCTAATTTTTCTATCTGTGCGATCAATTTTTTGATTAAAGTAATAATTAGTGTAGTCAGAAAATATTCAATTTAAATGTAATAATTCCTTCCTGAGTGGATTTAAATTTGAGCGAAAGTAATATTTTTACATAAAATTCTCTTATTTCATGCTGTATGTACAATTTTCGTATGTGGTAATAAAATATAACAAACTATATAGTTGCACTGTATGGTTTTGATAATGGTAAAAAAAAAAAAAAATGACGTTATCTATTATGACCATCTTTCCCGTTATATTATTCAAAAAACAGGAATAAACAATTATGAGCCACTTTGCAATCTTATGCTTCAAACAATCTGTAACCTTCAATAAATATTGGCTGAGAAAATGTTTGAGGCACTACTTAACATGTCATGCACGAGTATACTCTACTGGCATTAATAACCATCATAAAAATTATATTGCCAAAGAGGAACGCGCCGATAGGAGGAAGGCATTAAGGTTACAAGTGCTTCAAGATATTAAAAAAACTAAACGGAAAGTAGAAGAAATTATTGAGAAAGAAAACATTTGGACTGTGCCAAATTTTCTTTGTATGGGTCGAATCTTAACATCACCTTACTTAAGTTACTTAATCTTATCACAGGATTATCAGGTAAAATGTTATAATAATTCAGTGTATATTTATTACATTTTAAAAATTATGAATAATATATCATATTACAGGTAGCACTGTGGTTACTAGTAATCGCAGGGTTTAGTGATCTAGCTGATGGATGGATTGCTCGTACATGGACGTCGCAAGCTTCTAAACTTGGTAGCTTTCTAGATCCAGTTGCAGACAAATTACTTGTAGGTACACTCTTCTTATCACTGGCCTGGGTACGATTGGTTCCTATTCCTCTGGCGTGTCTTGTTGTTGCGCGAGATGTTGCCTTGGTTTTAGCTGCTTCTTACATAAGATATCAATCTTTACCTCCTCCGGTGTGTACATATTAAAGCATTAAATAGTACCGTTCCTTAGATAAATACTTCGGTAATCACTGTTTTATGAAATGTGTTTCAGAAAACATTAAGTAGGTATTTCGATCCTACGCATGCAACGGTACAACTAGCCCCAACGTATATAAGTAAAATAAATACTGTTATTCAGTTGTCTTTCGTTGCTGCGTCACTGGCTGCTCCTATATTTCATTTTATAAATCATCCAGTTTTAGAAGGTTTGTGTTATATAACGGCATTAACAACATTAACAGGAGGTCTAAGTTATTTGACATCAAAAAATACGTATAAATTTTTAAGAAGAAAGGCTTCGACAAAATCGTCCAATTAAATGTAATATGTATGTATATTAATGACCACAAAACATTTTCATAATTTGTAAATTTATTCTTTACTTTGGACAATAAATATCATTTGCATAAATAAACGTGCATATAATTATACATACATAAATGAAACTGTTCAAAATAATGTTCTGATTTTATAATTATCTCATAACAAAATATTTACCAGTTATTATTTATGTATATCATACATTTCATAGGCAAAAGTTTCAAAGAGATTAGAATTCATACAAATTGATATATGATCAATTTCTAATTTAAAAGGTCCTGGTTTTTTATCTGCAAGTGTAATTCCAAAGTTCTTAATACAGTGTGAAGTCAAAGGAAATTGCATATCATCTATCACTCCTTTTGATGCAAACAGAAATTTGGCAAAGGGTATTCTAACAACCTGCCAATGTGGACCACCTCTTGTATACATTACATAATGAAAAGCATAATTCCTTGTTATATCAAAATATTGCCCACATAATAAATTTAACATATAGCATCTACCATCTCCCCTAATTCGCAAAACAAGTTCATTATAATTAGTCCAATCAAGGAGTATTTTTCGTTTAAAGGATTTGCATTTTCGAACTGAAGTAATATTGCAGTATCCGGATCTTACAGTCCGGCCGTCTTTCGGTACACGGGTATCCAATATACCATGGAATATTCCAGTGCCATGGGATGACAATTCTAATCTAAAACATATATACATTTCCTTTTTTCATGTTCATTTACCTAAACGGTATTCTTATAATATAAATGATAATATAAAAAAACAGTAGTTAATTACTTGGCAGTTGAGTAACCATGGCTATAATCTTGATCAGAATTTACAATCCATTGATCCAGCGATTTTTTAGTTCCATCAAATTTCCATATAATGTCGTCTTCGTTTTGTACAAAACATTTTGGATTTAGTGTCAATTTGGCTTTGAACTCTTGAATATATAAGTTCCATTCGCTTTTCCATTCCTGACATGCTCTTCGAAATCTTGCAAGAAACCTTAAATTTTCTGGCGGTTTATCGTACACTACTGGATAACCTGATCTAGGTGGTTCAAAAATTGTTCTTTTATTGATCAGAAGAATTCTCAGGCGTGGGTTTAAGAAAGGAAACATAATATTTGTTTTATAATAATTCCTCTTACACAGTTACATGAAAGCATGTCACAAACTTATAACCTTGTTAGTCATGTTAGAATTTACGCATTTTTCACGAGCACTAACACACCTTTCAATTTTATATTGTTATACAATTCTTTTATACAAAAATTACAGTGCAACTTTCTTTCTTTACGTTTTTTCGAGTATCGTACTTTTACGTCTTACAACAGTTAATATTATTTTTAACGAATTAACTAAAAAATGCTCAACTACTCTTAATTTTTTAAATTATTTTTAAGAACAAAATATGATATATGACACTTATTATTGCTAATACGAAAATATTACCATGAGTGAGTGATATAGAGTAATATTTGATATAATAAAAAAATTACTATAATAGGAGTTTTTGTTCCTCCAATGATGGTCATTGTGAGTACGCTGAACTCAAATTCAATGATAGAATGGTACTATTCAGACGCAGTAGATTATTAAATAAAAGGAATTTAATCTTTCTATATCCAAAGAGTTCCGATAAAAATGGAAATACATTTCACGTAAAATTTGTATCAAATAATGCTGCAGAAAGTGTAAACGTACAACTATCTAATGGGTAAAAATACCACGTGTTCTTTTAACCTAAACGCTAACGATGTTCTATACTTATCATATTTTGATGTTCAGGTTTAAATTTATAAATAATTGAACAATAAGAAAATGTCTAGTTGCTTAAATAGAATATTTAATTACGTGGTCTCTTTGATACGTATTTCGAATATTTTTCCAGGGTAACACTGACATTATCAACTGGGAAATATGCCCGGTTTACGAGTGGTAGTGTTATTGCCTCATTAGGCAATACCTCAGTTATGACCACTGTGGTTAGAACTGGTAAATCACAGAACGATTCTGGTGTTCCATTAATAGTAAATTATCGACAAAAAGCTGCTGCAATGGGGCGTATTCCAACGAATTTTTTTCGTAGAGAAATAGGCTACACAGATCAAGAAATTCTTACCAGTAGAGTAATAGATAGATCTATACGTCCTCTCTTTGAACCAGGATATTTTTATGAAACACAAGTAATATGTAATTTATTAGCTGTCGATGGAGTTAACGACCCAGATGTGTTAGCTATTAATGCAGCATCTGCAGCTTTAAGCATTTCGGATATTCCATGGAACGGACCTGTAGCAGCTGTAAGAGTGGGTCTTATCGATAAACAACATGTAATCAATCCTACGAAACGCGAACTTCAACAAAGCAAATTAAATCTTATTTTATCATGTACATCTAAAAATCTTGTAGTCATGATAGAAGGATCGGCCAATGATATTTTACAGCCACAACTTTTAAAAGGAATAAAAGTAGGTGCTAAAGAATGTAATAAAATTATACAGTCTATAATGGAATTAAAACAACGGATTGGTAAACCGAAATTAGAAATTGTCCAAGACAACGAATCAAAGAATGATATAGAAGAGTTTGTGCGAAACTTTGCCGAACGTGAATTACGTGATATTTTGACCTGTTATACTCATGACAAAGCTTCACGAGATAATGCTGTTGCTGATGTTAAAAACAGAATGATAGAAAGTATGACAAATCATGATTCACAATTTGTTTCAAATGTAACAAAAGTTTTCTACGAGGTTTTGAAAAAAATTTTCAGGTCTATAATAATTGAAACAGGGATAAGGTATTTGTTATATATAAAGAATAAATTGAATTATAATTATCAATTAATATACATATTAAATATAAATAAGTAAATAATTTCAGGTGCGACGGTCGTTTTTTGAATGAATTGAGGAATATAGAATGTAAAGTTAATTTGTTCTCTCCTCTTCATGGGTCTTCCTTCTTTCAAAGAGGGCAAACTCAAGTTTTATGCACAGTAACACTCGACAGTATAGAAAGTTCTCTGAAACTAGATGCTGTTTCAATATTATCTAGGTATTTTACATACTAATTTTTTTGCAAATGTGTGTATTGAGAATGAATGTATATGATTTGTATAATTTACAGTGGCGTGAAGGAGAAAAATTTTTTTTTACATTACGAATTCCCTCCATATGCTACAAATGAAACAGGTTCTCTTACCAAAGTTGATCGTAGAGAAGTGGGTCACGGAGCGTTAGCAGAGAAAGGATTGCGTGCAGTTGTACCAAAAGATTACCCATTTGCTATAAGATTGACAAGCGAAGTATTAGAATCAAACGGTGGGTTATTTAAATTTAAAAATAGTTATTTTATATTAATATCTCTTTATTTTATTTAAAGGTTCTTCATCTATGGCCTCTGTTTGCGCTGGTAGTTTAGCATTAATGGATGCAGGTGTGCCAATATCAGCCCCTGTTGCTGGTGTAGCTATGGGATTAATATCTGATCCTGATAATACCGATTTAGATCCAGACGATTATAAAATATTAACAGATATTTCAGTAAGATCAATTTTATTGAAATATAAATGGTATTTTCTATAAATTAATATACAAAGAAACGAATTTTTAATTTGTTCGATAAAAGGGTATAGAGGATCACTTTGGAGACATGGATTTTAAAATAGCCGGTACAAAAAAAGGATTTACCGCTTTCCAAGTTGACGTAAAAGTACCAGGTGTCCCTTTAACAGTGATAATGAAATGTATTCAAGAAGCAAATTCGGCGAAAAGTCGAATTATTCAAATCATGAACGAAGTAATATCGTCTCCAACGGTAGATAGAAATGAAAATAAACCTGTACTTGATACTATCGAAGTACCTCTGCATCAAAGAGGAAAATTTCTTGGAATTGGAGGTGCAAATTTGAAAAAAATCTTATACGAAACAGGAGTTAATGTATGTTCGGGGAGCGACGATAAGTTTTAATGGATAAAGATTGAATTATTACATATATACATAAGAAGTACGTGTTTTTTTTTTTTTTTAATGTATTACAGATACGTTCGGAAAGTGATACAGTGTTCTCCATATTTGCGCCTAATCAAGACGCAATGAACTACGCCAAAGAAATAATGAATGAAACGCTGCAGAAAGATGGGGAACCAGTATTAGTATTTGGTGATATTTATACGGCTAAAATAACCGAAATCCGGGAAAATGGGGTCATGGTTACGTTGTATCCTACAATGATGCCAACGCTATTACCTAATTCTCAATTAGATCAGCGTAAAATACATCACCCTAGTGTACTTGGATTTGAAGTCGGAAATGAAATAAAAGTGAAATATTTTGGACGAGATCCGGCGAATGGACACCATCGATTATCACGAAAAGTGTTGCAGGATCCAGTTTCTTCTGCAAGAAATTTCAACCTTACAAAAGGTCAGCAGTAATAATCCTTTAAAAGTTTTATATATTCTTCTTAAGAGAAAATTGTACCGCTTTCAAAAAGCGAATATCCGATTAATTGCTTCCTCTTTTTTCTTTTTAATACCAATTGTAATAAAACTGACTTTACACGATATTTCAATTATACGCCGATCTTATCACTCTGCCAGGTAAACGTTTTATAAATGATTGCATATTAAATTGTTTATCGAAAAGTAACCTGTTGAGAACATATGCTAGATCCGACAAATTATGAATGGCGCTTAAAATATTTCTTTGTACTTTAACCAAATAATATAAGCAATGCCGTTTATGTCTTATTAAACGCACATTATGTATATATAGAACTAAGTGGAAAAGTATTCTGACCTCCTTACAACGATCATTTTCGCCCTCGAAACCATCTTGAAATCTATCAAATATTCTCGCCTCAGCTTTTCAACTTGGACACGTAAATAATTTGCACAATATTCGTCGTACTTCATTCACCGTAGACCATTGTGAATTGAGACTCTATTCGGTAATTAGCCTGTTTCAAAGGTTACATCTCCAAGTTATAGTTGTTTGTCGTTAAAGATACGAAGAATCTTGTGCTGAACGTTATTTAAAATTTATCACCATACTAGAAATGATATCGCGTTTCCTCTACCGTTACGTTTTCAAACGGACATCCTCGTTTGTTCTCGGCATTGTCATCGCCTCGGTATTCTTCGAAAGAGCTTACGATCACGCGTGCGAAAATATCTTCGAATGGATAAACGAAGGAGTATGCCAACCAATTTCTTTCCCTGATTGCACGCCACCCGTGTCACATTATGTTCGGCGATGGACAAATAAAACGCTCGTTTCGCAATACGCCGATCGATCGATTTTGCATTCATTTCTTGCGTATCATATTTGCTTTACATCTTGCTTGAATTTCACACCTTTTTTCCGCAGAGACTCTGGATGCACATAAAGCACCGGTACACGGATCCTCAGAAGACGAAATTGACTTATCAACGTAAGATCGTCGAGGAAAAGACAGAGAATTTGGAAGAGAAACCGAACAACGGTGGGGATGTGAAGAAAGGCTGATAATTTTGTAGAAAAAAATGAACTGTTGTCAAATAAAATACGGGATAGAATTTTTGCTTTTTTCCAAGTGAACTCGACTCACTTTCTTTTCGTTCTGTACAACTCGAAATAATTAAGTTGCGTGCGTGCTCGCGACATGTAATATCCTTTTAGCGTAGTGGAATCAAATATTTCGAAAATGTTTTTAAACAAATACCGTTCGTCGACTTACAGTTAGGAATTGAACAATTGTATCGTAAGGGAATTCTATCGAGTAAGCGATATCGGGCCCGAGCAATGCGACACCACGTGCACCGTACATCAACACTCTCGAGGCCATTGGCGAGGTGCATTTGGCGACAACGCGGTAGACGCCACCCAACCTGTGGTATGCGAATGGGTTTCCCTTGTCCTATGATACTGTGATAGCCCATCTAATCTCCACCTAACCTTGTTTTTCACTAGTTTTAACTTCCTCGCCGATTACTCATCCGACCAAACCAGCCTAAACCAATGCACCCTTAGTCACCAACCCCTCCAGTTATATACTTATAAGTACATAGGAAACCAATTACCACCGGGCAGTCTGTACAACCAGCAAACATTAAACTCTGTATTTCGTAAAACGTGTCTTTTGGCGCTTTAATCCCTCACCTAAACGGTACATCAGTGCGACGGTATAAAACTTACACCGGTGAGCCCCGAAGCGTGTTGAATCCACGGAATCAACCACATCGACGTGCTCGCGCTCAGTCCGTCACAATGCACATCTGCTTAAAAATTCGCCCGATCCATTGGGACACCTTCCCTGCATTCCACACCGACGCCAAGATGGCTTTTCCCGATACCGCGATTTTCCGGGTCCCCTTCCTACATTTCCCTACCCGACGCGCATTCTACAGCATCCATCAGCTCCAGTAGGGCCCCATATAAATACAGTATATTCTCCACAAGTGTCAGACCGCAGGAAGCTAAACCTGACACTCGTAGAGTCAGGGACTACGTTTTCGAGCCTCGCGCCCGCCTTTGTAGTTTGACGAACGTAGACAAGGACAGCGAATAAAAGATCGAGGCAATCAAGCGATTTAAATACCAACTTTTTTAATTTTACGTTTTTTTATCCCGAAATTTTTCTTAACATATTGATGAGATTTTTCTCATGAAAATGACATCAAACACGACATAATTTGAACAACATTTACTTATTAACACGTTCACTGTTGCGCCAGATTGTAGGGTCGGTTCGACAAGTGTCAGTAAAATGTAGGGTCGATAGCAGCAGAAAAGCTGCTAAACAATTAGAATTAAATGTAACGATAGAAATTATTGCAATAATGCGTAATGCAATTGAAAAATTGAAAGAATCAAAAGGAAGAACGCGAATTCGTGTCTTCTTCGATTCTAGAATATAAGAAAATTTGAATAAAATACGCGACGAGAATTGGAGAGAAGCATAAGTTAAACGCGTAAAAATATTCAATAATAAACGAACTAGGGATGAAGCTATTATTTCAATACGCGATGCACTGACTCTAGTATTTACTAAAATTCAAAAATTCTCGTATAAATTCCGAAAATAGATTATTAATTACGGTAAACTACTGAGACGGTTTAATTAAGGGTGGGCATGGTGCTGCTTTAGTTTGAAATGATTTATAAACACATAATTAACAGAGGAAAAACCGTGAAACGGCAAAACGTCAACATTCTAATTGTTATAACATGTAAACAAAACTTTAAATTTAGTGTAAACAGAAAAAAGTTTGAAATGATTTATAAACACATAATTAACAGAGGAAAAACCGTGAAACGGCAAAACGTCAACATTCTAATTGTTATAACATGTAAACAGAACTTTAAATTTAGTGTAAACAGAAAAAATATATAATACAATTTATTTCACGGTATTGCAACAAATAAACGTTGAATCAATATTTAATTCGTATAAAAACAATTATTTAACGTAATAATTTTACCTTCACTATGGCTATTTTTAATCTACGACCACAGGTCAACCTGATTTCTAATCCTTACGAACTTTAAATTCAGTCTAAACTGAGAAAATATATAATACAATTTATTTCACGGTATTGCAACAAACAAACGTTGAATAGATTCTTAATTCGTATAGAAACATTTATTTAAAATAATAATTTCACCTTCACTATGGCTATTTTAAATTTACGACCAAGGGTCAACCTGATTTTTAATCCTCCGAACTTGATTTCACAACGAGAAAGTAATAAGATCGTTGAAACGTACTTATTTGTCAAAGAAACTTGCAAAAATGTATAAATAATAATATGTAATGTTTTAACAAATTTTTGGAAGTATAAATTAATAATAAAATTGTGAAAATTAATAAATTATACGTTATTATAACATTAATAGAATTATGACTAAACCGAAGTTCGAAGTCGAGTATTTAAAGTCTGATATTACGTGCCTAGCGAGTGCCGGTAATTGTTAAAATTTGTTTAATAATTAGTAATAGAAATTCTAATTGATTCTAATGTATACAAGTGTTACAAGAAGGCTGAGTGTGTACAGGGTGGACATAGACTAGCTAGTAGCCCCCGACCACTCTATTCACATCTCAGAACCTTCAGGTCAAAATACGCCGCGAAGTGTCTAGGGCCCAGTATAAAGGGTAAATGATTTCGCGGGACATCGGCGGGTCCTTATATACCTGCGGTACCCTCTCCCCAAAGTCATTAGCAAAATCGTCGGTTAGGTCAGGCGGGAAATTTTCGCGGGAGATTTTCGCGGGAGATTTCCGATATCGTAACACGGTATAATTTATCAATTTTCACAATTTTATTAAAAATTTATACTTCCGACAATTTGTTATAACATTGCATATAACAATTTATACGTTTTTACAATATTCTTCAATGGAAACATAGGTTTTAGCGTTCTCGTTACTTACTCGTGGTTAAATTAATTTCGTAGGGATTAAAAATCAGGTTGACCTGTGGTCGTAGATTAAAAATAACCATAGTACAGCTAAATTTATCGTGTTAAATAATTCTTCTTACACGAATGAAAAATGTATTCAACGTTTGCTTGTTACAATACCATGAAATAAATTATTTGTGCAGTTCTGTGCATTTTCTGTGCAGTTCAACCTAATTTACTTAAATTTACATTGCGAGACAGTATACTGTAACAAGTAGTAACAAGCAAACGTTGAATAAATTCCTAATTCGTATTAAAAAAATTATTTAACACAATAATTTCAGCTTTATTATGATTATTCTTGATAAATGACCACAGGTCAACTTGATTTTTAATCGTTATAATCTTTAAATTCAGTGTGAATAGAGAAAATGTGTAATATAATTCATTTCACGATATTATAACAAACAAACGTTGAATACATTTTTGATTCGTAGGAAAAGAATTATTTAACACGATAATTTTAGCTGTACTATCACTATTTTTAATCTACGACCACAGGTCAACCTGATTTTTAATCCCTACGAAATTAATTTAACCACGAGTAAGTAACGAGAACGCTAAAACCTATGTTTCCATTGAAGAATACTTTGCGCGGGAAATCGATAATTTCTCGCGGGAATCGGTCACTTTTCGCGGGAAATCCTTCGTTTTTCGCGGGAATCAATTATTTTTCGCAGAAAATCGCCGATTCTTTCGTAATTCTATTTTGATTTCTATTGTAATGTTATAATAACGTATAATTTATTAATTCTCACAATTTTTTGGTATAAATTTATACTTGCAACAATTTGTTACAACATTACATATAACAATTTATACGTTTTTACAATATTCTTCAATGGAAACATAGGTTTTAGCGTTCTCGTTACTTACTCGTGGTTAAATTAATTTCGTAGGGACTAAAAATCAGGTTGTCCTGTGGTTGTAGATTAAAAATAACCATAGTACAGCTAAATTTATCGTGTTAAATAATTCTTCTTACACGAATGAAAAATGTATTCAACGTTTGTTTGTTATAATATCGTGAAATAAATTATATTATACGTTTTCTCCACCAAACTGGACAAAGTACAACTAGTACTTATCGAAATGATTTATCTCTCTCGAAGAAATCGAGTTTGTATAGTGAGAACGTATAAATTGTTATATGCAATGTTATAACAAATTGTCGGAAGTATAAATTTATAACAAAATTGTGAAAATTGATAAATTACAATTCTGCCTGAATTTTTGAAATTCAGAAAAACACAGGTAAACTTCCATTGCATTTAAACGATATTCTCCACCAAACTGGACAAAGTACAGTAAATTCTCTACAAGAGTCAGTAAGTTTACTGTCTCGCAACGTAAATTTAAGTAAATTAGGTTGAACTGCACAGAAAATGCACAGAACTGCACAAATAATTCATTTCACGATATTATAAGAAACAAACGTTGAATACATTTTTGATTTGTGTAAAAAGGATTATTTAACACGATAAATTTAGCTGTACTATGGTTATTTTTAATCTACGACCACAGGTCAACCTGATTTTTAATCCTTACGAAATTAATTTAAGCACGAGTAAGTAACGAGAACGTTAAAACGTACGTTTCCATTGAAGAATATTGTAAAAACGTATAAATTGTTATATGCAATGTTATAACAAATTGTTAGAAGTATAAATTTATACCAAAAAATTGTGAGAATTAATAAATTATACGTTATTATAACATTACAATAGAATGCAAAATAGAATTACGAAAGAATCGGCGATTTTCTGCGAAAAATAATTGATTCCCGCGAAAAACGAAGGATTTCCCGCGAAAAGTGACCGATTCCCGCGAGAAATTATCGATTTCCCGCGAAAAGTGATCGATCTCCCGCGCAAAGTAGTCCGTTTCCCGCGCAAAGTAGTCGATTCCCGCGAAAAATAGTCGATTCCCGCCCGAATTATTAACGACTTTGCTAATGATTTTGGGGAAGGGGTACCGCAGGTATAAATAGACCCGCGAGCTCCCGCGAAATCATTTACCCTTTATACTGGGCCCTAGACACTTCGCGTAATTTT